CCGTGCATACTGAATTATAATTAACAACATATATTACATTTGAAAGCTATACTCCAAGACAGAGAGGAACAGATCACAGTAGTATTCATGATTGTTTATCACACGTTACCTCAAAGCACCAGAATATTGTGGAATGAGCATAGATATTTGATTTTTTTTCAGCCAACAGTTTCAGGAACACAGTGATTCCCTTAAAAACAGTGACAAAGACTTTAAATTGTTGGATTTTTCCGATCCAGAAAGTAAAAGTTAACCTGCCTGTCTGGCACAAGTACAGTGCGATTGATTGCTTTGACATCTCCTACTCTTGGATCTGGCTTGACTTCAAACAGCTTGATTATCTAGATGGGAATAAATTGCATGAATTAAATACTTTGGACTTCAGGAAGAGGATGTTGTAGGATAGAAAAATACACAATCAAGGACAAATGACATTACTTAAGCAGATAAATATATTGCTATATAAACCAATAAACCAATAATCATTTGCCTGCTTACCCTTGCCAAAGCCAGGTGCATCTCCAGTTCAGCGATGCGTTTGCCAGCACAACCTCTGACCCCGAACCCGAATGGGATGGACCCGAAAGGGTTAGGCCTCACCCTACCATCCCGCAACCAACGTTCAGGCTTGAAGGCCCGTGGTTCAGGGAAGACCTTCTCATCCTGACTGATCGCGTAGTGGTATAACACAAATGTGGTCTGTTCATAAGAGTTATTAATTAGTTACATTTACATTAATGGAAGGGAGGTCAATGTAATATGGATAAAGAAAAAATAAGCACCTCTTTAGGAAAGTAGTGTCCTCCAATTATTGTGTCACCGACTGAAAAAAGACGTGCATTTAAGGGAACAACAGGGTACATCCTAGACATAATCATAAAATAGTATCAATAAATGGTTAAAATAATGAAATGTTAAACAAAACACAACATTAAAAAAAGCTAACAAGTAAATGTCATTTGCCTTTAAGGCAGGCTGCCTAGGACATGGCATTAATTGTGTTGAACCAAATTTATCTCTGTGGAAATTGTTGAAAATTACATTTACATAATTTTCTAGTTATCCCAAATGTAGATGATCAGCCAGGACATATTTTTTGTGTCTGAAGTTTACTTCTTTGGTCTTGCACTGGAGCTACAAGCCTATTTAGGCTAATAAGTAATGGTTCCTACGGTCGTGATCTCAAATGCTGGAATGTTTTCTAAAATTGTATAACATTAGCGTTGAAGCTTCAGTACAAAACTAAAGAAGCAAATTTCGAATGCTAAATGTATCTTGGCCGATCGAGCAAGGGGAAAAGTACATTTGTTTATTCGCCTATTAAAAACCTCGTTTTTTCTTTTTCTCCTTTTTACTACACCTTAGAGTCTCCTTGATGACGGCTTTAAGGTAGGGCATGTTGTTTATATCCTCAGCTGTTGGAATTCTGTCCCCCTTGATGGTGCTGGCCACTTCCTGATACAGTGTGTCCTGTTTCTCTGGATCACGTGACAGCAGATACAAGGCCCACAGCATGGTGTTGGAGGTCTCAATGCATAGACAAGACAAATAAGCATGTTTTCTTCTTCAACAGACTCTTCTGTCTCCTACAGCAGTTTAGAACACAATTTTTGAAGTTGCACTAGCCAAGCCTATATAGAGTACTTACTGTATCAACTCCTGCCAATAACAGTTCAGTAACACTCCCGTACACATCCTTTTGGCTCATGTTGGTGTTGGAGAGCAGGTAGGTGAGGTACTCTCCTTCAACTTCCTGATTTGTGTCCAGGCGCCTCTGAATGTCTTCCATCTTCTTGTCAATTAGCTTGCAGGCTATACAAAACGAAATGCAGACATTTCTCTCAATTTCAGCTCATGCAGGAGCTCTTAAGGTTTTAGGGTGTAAAAGCCACTGGAATATTTGTATAATTAATTAATTAACTCACCAAACTTGAAAATGCCCTCCCAGCCACCTGTGTACCACCTATGGAACGGCAAGTAATTGCGGGTCCAGTTGGGTAGAATGGACACAGTCATGCTATAGGTGAACATCTGGACAATGCTGTTAATGAAGTCCTGAGTCTCAGCTGGTATCTTGTTCTCCAGACAGCCAATGCGAGTCTCAAACAGTATGCGAGAGATCCCTGAATAAGCAGGAACAGATTAAAACAAAGTAAAATTGCTAAGACCAGTTGGTTTATCTTTGCTATGTATAAGTTTAAAAAGTCATGGTCTGGATTTAAAACTGTGTGTGGGATACAATTGACAGGCAGCTATATTTATAGAGGTATTCTGGCTTAAACTAACTATTTAATAGGTTTTTTGTTACATTCTTTTTTCATTGTTTTATGTTTTCTGCCAGTGTTCTCTTCTTTCAATACCCAGCATGAGTTACATAAATACATCATTGAGAATCCCTAAAGCCCTTAACAAATCCTGACCTAGCCAGTGATCTAGAACCTAATACATCTGTGGTGCTATTAAAGGTATACAACTACTATAATTAGTACATATTACATGTAACACTAACATCAATTGTCAGACTTTTTTCATTGTTAAAGGATCCAGCCAGAGAAAAAAATGCAAACAGCCCAGCCCCAAGTATCCTAGTCTTTAAACTAGGAAATCTCACTCTAGAGACTAAAGCAGCACCACTGTACAGGGTAAACTTTTTTTTTTTAAATGTAGCAATGGATACATTTTTTATTTTGGCCAGATTGACCTTAAGGTCTGACCATACCTTCTAGAGCAAAACGATAGAGCTCATTGGACATGTTGGGCACCAGGTCTCCGGTGGGGCTCATCTTGCGCAGGTGGTTTATCCTTTTGACAAAGTCTGTGACCACACTGTTGACCACACTCTCATACTTCACTGAGTCTTTGGGATGCAGCATGCGTTTATTCAGCACAGCTCGGAGTTTGTACCACTTCTCTCCTTCTCTGGTGAAAGAACAGGAAACATATCACTGCTGTCAAGGAAAACCTCATAGTTCTAAAATTCTAACTTTACAGGGCAAAAGTGAAAGAGCTTTTAGAGGCAATTAATATAAGAATTTTATTTCATGCATCTATATAATTTTAGATTATTTTTAAGTAATTTTGGAGCATGAAATGTTCACACAATAGCACTATCAAATAAAAAAATGAAAAAGAGTTACAAGGTTTTGATATTAAATACTCAGAATTGTCTTAATGTGTGTTTTATTCATGTTATATTGTTATTTGAAGAGACACTAAACACTCAAAAACACTGAACAGGTTGGCTTTTTGCATACATTTCGCAACAGCACAGCAGTACAGCAAAATCTGAAAACATTCCATGTTACATAACCTCTATGTTTTTTCTACCTCAGTTACAAGAGTGAACTTTTGCTCTGATTAGCACTTTATGGAACAATTAAGCCAAGTGTCCAAATAAGCCTAACATACCATTGATGTTTACAGCTAATCTATAAAGCAGTTCTGTAAAAGTGTGGCTTACTCAGTGAAGGGCCCGTAGCCTAAGCCCTTCTCATCTCGGTATTCAGTCCATATAGTCATGTCTCCTCTGCGAGGAAACTTCTCTTCTTTCCTCAACAGCTCCTCTAGCAGTTCCGCACTGCTTATAGCAATGGTGTGCATCTGACCAGAAACCACTTTAAATATGGGTCCATAAAGCTTCTTTTCATACAACTGTGGAAAAATAGAGCAATTATTCTTTAAAAACAGTGTTACCCACAATAATACAGTTCAGTAGGGTCAGTTTTCCAAATACAGAAAACCCTTGATTAAATTCCTCTTTAAATGGGGATTGAAAAAATAATGCTGTAATAACCCTTGTTAGTATGGTTCAATGATTAATCTTTGCCTAGAACATTAGCTAAATAAACCTAATTAATTGGCTCATTAAAGTCAGGTGAGGCTTACTTGTGTTTTCTCACAAAGAATGTCTTGTTTGACCAGCGTTTAAACAGTTCTTTGAATAAATCATGTTATTTGAAACCAAATGACTTCATTTCCATTGACTAAAGATTCTTTCCTGTCGTATCCTAGGAGACAGACATATGTGAAATCAACGGTTCTGGGTTTAGTTCTCAAATTTCCTTTCTGCATCTCATTTGAACACTCTCCTACAAGGACTAGTTGTGGTGCACCATGACCTGGCACGCAACAAGGCCACAAATGTAAACAGAATACTTTTTATCAGTTCTTTAATAAGCACCTTTTCAAAATGACTATCAGAGACTAACAGAGAAACAGCAGAGCACAGAAAGGCCATATCACTAAACACACTGTACCTGCATCTCATGCATGCGATTGTAATACCCTTTAATTATGAGCCTGTAGAGTACTGTGGGCAGAGTGACCACAGGGAGGTCAGCCTGGGTCCTGATGTTTCCAGGAATGCCCTGTACTGCAGCAGCATTTTCTCCTGCTCCCCTCCTAAGGTCCAGACTCACAGCGGTGGGCCTCAGGATCAGTCGTCTGACTGCTGAGCCAGCCAAGCGCGGAGCTAGATGGACTGCCATCAGTGCACAAAGGAGGGAATGTGAACAGCAGCTTATGTTCCAGTGTGGAGGGAGAAGGAGGCGGGGCTACGCTCAGCAAGTTAACCCTTCACTTCAAACTGAGCACAGCTCAACCTGGCAACACTGTTGCTGAAAAACACTCAGGTCTGGTTCCAAATAAGATTAAAAATACTGGCCTGCCGTCTAGGAAAACGAAGAAAGCTTGAAATTTCCTTTTTATTATTGAGCCGTGACGTTAACTTACATAATGTGCTTTTGATAGTTTTGCAAATCTTGCTAAGGCAGCTTTCAGCTCACACTACTAATTCCCACAAAAGTGATTGAAGACAAATTGTAATTCAGAAGATGATTTCAAAACTGACATTTGAATAGAAAGTAGAGGGCCTTGCTGCATTCACTGATGGAAGGAAATTCAATTCATAGCTGTACTGTAGCCATAATAGTCAACTCATTCTTTATTTTAAAGAATGTGTACAACAGCATAGAACAAGACAAAGGAAAGGCCATCATAAATAAATAGAGTGCTCTTTATTTACACCATCAAAAAAGGCACATGAAAAACAACATTTAACGCCCCTTCTATGAAGGGAGGCGGAGCACACAGTTCTGCATAACACACCTCTAAACATGGAACGTGTGTCAGCCGCCAAATTACGTTCATGCTTCACAATTACTAATAGGCATTCTGGATATACGATGGCCCCAAAAAGTATTTGAGTAATTGTGCCATTCTTAAAAATGTATTAAGCTCATTGTGTTACAAAACACAATGTTAAGCCAAGTGGTATTTACTTTAAACAGACCAAAGAATATAATTTTCTTTTTGACGATTTATTCTAGGGTGGAGTCTAAAAGAAGTCTAGGGTGTTTCAGATTGTTTTCATTGGAGCAGTTTCGTTTGCATCCTAAATGTCTTTGTACACTTTTGAGTTCATGATCCCATCTATAAACAAGCTCACCAATACCACTAGCAGAAAAACAGTCCCAGACTTTGACATTTCCAAGCTTTCTCCACACAGAGTCTACCATCCATTTGATGTTGTGCTGTGTGTGCTTTTTCTTCTGAAACAAATGACAGCTTGTTTCTACCTTTATGAAGTAAACTGAAGAGCTTCATTCAAGTTTACCAATGATTACATAGTTAAAGTGTCCAAATATTTCTTTAATTACTCTTAAGACTAATGTTTACTGCTTTTGGTTCTCTGAAAGGATGAGAACATCACACATGGTATTTAAAGTGCAAATGGAAGTGTGAATAATACAGAGCCTAATAGGGTGAGTTTTAGAAAGCTGTCTGGTCTGCTTCAAACATTTTCAGCACACCCAAGTTTTCAGATAATAATTAACAGCAACAATAGTTAAGAGAAGCTTAGACCCTGCCCTTTTGTAGCTTTGACACAGCATATACGCTACATACAGATGGTTGGCCTTTAGCCTACTTCATTTGAAATTATCTTGTTGCTGTCATTTCCAGCCTGCATATAAGACAGGCCTAAAAAGGATAATAATAATGATCTCTTGTATGCTGCAGTGTTGCTTTGCATTATTTACTTATTACTGTCTAAAATATAAAATACTGGAAAAACAGGACTCAACAAGTTTCACAGCTTTTAAATTTAATTGGCAAAAACTGTGTGTGTTTTCTAGAAATAGCCACAGAATGTCACAAGTCACTTCATGACCGGCCTCTTATGCAGTTTGCTCTTTCCATTTTACATACTGTTCATTTCCCAGTTCATGTCAGTGTTCCTATTAACTTCTGAATGTCCTCATTCTTTAATTTTTTCAACGTAGTCAATAGAGCCTGCTGGGTCCATTTTATAAAGCATGAAGTGGCCTTGCACTTGAGCCGCACTGAGCTCTTTGTGAACAGTTAGTGCTCGCTCTGCAAATCTTTCCCCCTCAGTCGCAGGCTCCAACGGGTAGAATCTCCGGAACATCTGGGTCAGCTGATAGTGTGTGCAGTGGCCAACATACTGCTTCAAGTCCACACGACCAGGTCTTATTAGAGCTGGGTCAAGTCTTCATCATATAGGGAAAAAAACAAGGCATAAAGTTAGAACAAGATACCTAGCACACAGCTGAGATAACTACTCGCTGCCACTCTACAGTAATATGAGGCAAACAAGTACAAGAGAAGCAACATGTCATGATTAAAAAAGATCAAATCAAATCACATTTATTGTCACATCATATTTACACAGGTACGAAGGTGAGTGAAAATAGTATATAAAAGTATATAAAAAAGTATAAAAGTATAAAAAGTATATACACATATACACAGTATATACACATTAATTTACACCAGTATTGCACCATTTCCAATGTGCAGTTTTTGTAACAGTAATATAGGTTATGAAATAAAAGCTATGATATGTACAGTTGTCCATTTATGCATTTAGTGAGTCTGACATAGATAAATGGGCTGGAGGTTAGGGAACCAGCCTTGTGACCGGAAGGTCACCGGTTTGATCCCCTGAGCCAACAGTACCCTTTAACAAAGCACCTAACCTCCAACTGCTCCCCGGGCGCCGTGGATAGGGCTGCCCACCGCTCTAAGTGTGCTCACTGCCCCCTAGTGTGTACTTGGTTTTTCACTGCATGGATAGGTAAAATGCAGAGGTGAAATTTCCCCATTGTGGGACTAATAAGGGTCACTTAAATAAGATGTAGGGTTCACAGGGGATAGAATATTGATATGTATTCCAGATTATTCAATATACGGACAGAAGATGTGGAAGATGTTAATCTATATATGCAGGGATCGATTTGCTAGATTGAAGTTACAGTAAGATCAGAGTGATCTGGATTGTCCATGGAGATCATGATGATGATGATTCAGATGTGTAGTGACAGGCACATTGACCAATACACCAGCACTACTGGACTGAAGGCAAGGTATAGAAATGTCCAAAAGGAAAGGCCTCCACTGACAACGCTTCACTGCCTAAGAAACCAGTTGGTCCACAGATGACAGGCAGAACAACAGAGAGATGAGTCAACTTGATAGCTCAGTTACGTGAGCTAGATTAGCTGTTACTTGGTTGTTAGAGAGAGAACACAGGGGAACGCACAGTTTTGGTAAAACTGATCTGGGAGGGACAAGCCACATCAGCCTTGTGAACTGCGAGACAAATTCCTATCCAAGCTCTACAGACGGTTAGGACTGCACACTTTACACCGAAAGGTAAGAATGTTGGCAAAATCCATCAGCCATCTATTGGGCACTGGAACCGTACTGAATATAGTTTTTATTTGGATACTATAGTCCCTGAGACACAATTAGAAATCAGTTTTCACATCAACTTTTCTTTTTTCAGGTAAAGTGGAACAGTTTGTTTAGGGCAGAGCTTTAAACTTTTAAGAACCACATTTTCAGAAGCCTACCAACAGTACAGTAATCCTGTGTACAGCTACAACACATTTAATCAGATTTGGCTAAGTGGATACCTATTAAAAACTGAACTGGCTTAATTTTTTCTTTTTAAACAAGTGCCTTTAAAGGGCTGGACCTCCACACGTTCTCTGCTCTCCAAGGTACTGCAGCTGAGGCTTCCTCTCTGACTCCATCTGCTCTCTCTTATACCATATTATTTTCATCCTGTCCTCTTTCCTTTCATTCTATCCTCTCAGCAGTGATTGAATTTCAACTCCCTCCTTCCAACCACTTGTAGTATAATGTTGGTACACAAACATACATATAAAAATCAAGCCTATTATCAAAACTAGGCTTTAATACACTGATAATGCCATGGCCACAGTGATTTTCAAAACTGGTTCACTGTAGTGTATTCAGTAAAATTGCGACAGTATTTAAAACACAAAGAATCAAATAACTTATTACAATTTTGATGATACACATACATAGTCAATTATATATTGTCCATATAACTATATATTGCTTAGTTCACCATAGAAGAAAAATTAAATTAACTTCTCAAAATATTTTATAAACAATTTGACATATCCAAGTAAAAAGTCTTGGTAATTTGGCTACCATGGGTAGCTATGCGATTATAATAACAAATATGTAACATCACATCACTAAACACATGCACAAATCCAGTACAACACTGATGATAAGCTTATCAGACGGTTTAGTTAAATTACTTTCCAAAAGAGCTCAGTAACGCTGAGATAAATAGATCAATCAATGTTTTAGCAAAAACTTCAGTGTTTACAGAGAACCTCTTTTGAGTCCGTCTAATGAGCATGTTTGTTAAATGCCATATGATGATTTTAAAATAGTTTATAAACAAGAATTAATGGTGTTTTTTGTACTCTGAAGACATTTTCCGAATACTTGTGTTATGCTACGCCCCAATCATTAATATAAGTGATCACACATGCATCTATTACTTATGTGCACATTGCACAAAATAAGTAATAGAGGCCTGCAATACACTTAAAAACTTTGTAAATTTCACCTCATTACTGATCTTTACCTCTCAATGAAGTTAGTAGTCATGAAGACAATTCTGGCCTCCGAAGAAGCGACTCCATCCAAAGCATTAAGAAGTCCACTAAAGGTGAGTCTTCCCATGCCTTGGTAGGCCATTGGGTCTGTGTAACGAGAACGTAGACAGGCAAACAACATGTGAATAAGTGATAAGATGATAACAGACATTTTTGGTTCGAAAGGGGAACCTGACTTAGAGGTATCTAAACTATAGTAGGCTATAATTTTTTAATTGTTTTCTACTTGACATGTTAATATCTACCTGATATCTTTATTGACAGCATTGTTAAAATTACTAAATGAGGCCACTTTGAAAAAATAGTCAGACATTCACGTGTACAAAATATAGCTTGCGTAAACAGTTATAAAAGTTTTAAAAGCGCCCCTCTGTGGACATACTCTCAGTAGGCAGATGCTCCCGGCTGACGAAGGCGGCGTCCGCGTCTTCCAGCAGAATTATGCTCTGCTGTGGAGCCACACTCAGCAGGTGATTCAACCGGTCGTCTGATAGACTGCGGTCACTTAGACTCATCAAACAGATGCTGTAACCCAACTCCCCAGCAAGGGCTGTTCTGAAAAATTGAACCAAAGCACACAAACATACATAATACACATACATAAACGTGCACATACACCATCCAAAAGTTTGTGGGCACCTGCTCATCCAATGCTTCTTCTGAAATCAAGGCTATTAATGGGGTGTTTGTGCCCACTTTGCTGCAGTAACAGCCTCTACTCTTCCAGAAAGGCTTTACACTAGATGTTGCAACATCGCAGATTTTATTGCATTCAGCCCCAAGAGCATTAGTGAGGTCAGATACTGATGTTGGATGATTAGTTTTGGATCACAAATACCACTCCAACTCATCCCAAAAGTATTTAATGGAGCTCTATCACACCAGAGAACACAGTTCCACTGCTCCAGAGCCCAATGCTGTAGGGTCTTATACACCTCTGTCAAACACTTAGCATTGGGCACAGTGACCTTAGGCTCATGTGCAGTTGCTGCGGAGTGTCCTATTTAATTGGCAGTGCTGTTCTATGGACATTATACAAGCTATGTATCATCTGTATCAGCAATGGGTGCTTCTTACTGTAGCTGAATTCACTAATTAGAGGTGGGTCATGATACTTTTAGATATATAGCATACATATAATCCAAGGCATTCCTGACAGAGTATTTGTATTTTTACACATTTATGTTCCATCTATGACACACTATTACACTGATGTTATGTATTAGCGGTAGCATTGTTTTGTGTTAAGGAAAATAATGTCACCATTCTTACATGAAGCTGCTCTTTCCACAGCCTGGTGGTCCATACAGTAGATATCCTCTTCTGTATGGGATTCCTAAAAACAAACAAAAGAAAAAAATGTGTAAAATCCTCTTTCTCTAAAACTCAGAGAATTACATCTAATAGACTGTTATGGTGTACCTCTATCAGTATACCACTTTGGATTATTAATGAATTCCTTAACATCATCCACAATCCTCTCAGCCACCCCATTATCCAGGACGACAGATGACAAGGGGCGGCGACGGCGGGGAAACCCGAATGGCCTCCATTCCGCTCCCAGAGCGGTATACATCACAGTGCGGCCCTCCTCCTGCTTTAGAGCCAGCTCTCGTGCTACACAAGCAAACGAGATTCAAATCAATGAATTGTCTGGCCATAGAAAACACATTTGATTCAAGAAACAGAGAAATTTCACTGTGTTCTGGAAGTCTACTTCTATCTTAACTCATCAGAGACTTAATGTTCAACTGAGTTAAACCAAGTACGTTGGCAGAAAAACACTGAAGAGTGCTTTGACGTGACACTCCAAGCCCAGGAGTTGCCTATTTCTGAAACAGAGAAAGTGCTATTGTTTCAAGTCAGGGATTCCCAACAGCTGAAACAATTAAAGACAACTAAAAAACAACTTACATCTGCCACTTGGCTCTTGCATCATAAAAAGGGTATGGTCTAGGTGAATTTTACCCCCCCAAAGCTACAATGTAAAATGTGACTTAAAAGGTACAATAAGGTCCTCAAAGTCCAACTGTGTACCTTGAAAGAGTTTTATACATACATAACATTCACTTTCCCAGGGGAAAGGAGGATATTTGTGTCTTTTTATGATATTTTAAGACAATAAAATAAAATATAAATCTGTAGTCAGACAGGCAGTATGGGATCAATGCATACATATTTATGTTTGCCCGAACAAAACATACTAAAGTCATGCCCATGAAAGTTCCAGGTCAAAGACTAGAGTTTGCTCACTGAAAGGTACAGTTTTTTTCTGAGAGTGTACCTTCTTGCAGTATGTTGAAGAATATCTGCCTGTCTCTGCCAAGAGCTGTGAATGTTACAGACTCCCAAGGCGTTCCTGTGTGCAGATCCACCATCTGTTTCTCTCGGGTCCTCTCCACCCTGATCCACTTACTTCCATACCTACAACAAAACCACACCTATTCCTTATATTATTTATTCATCCATTTCTCCAAACAGCCAGCATTATTAACTCTAGAATTTTTCTTTGGCATAAAACATTTGAATAGTTTGTTTTTCTTGCACTGATGTCATATTCTAGTCGTGGATGTCTACCAGACATTAATCCAAGACATCACATTACATCCACAACGGCCTTTACAATTAGCTAAGAAGCAGAACCAAATATGTTAAATTATGACTGTAGTCAGACATCTCTGATTTTCACTGAAAGACCTCGTAAGGTCTGTGGTGCCTCACCAAATGATGTGGTTACCAGGACTTGGGTGGAAGTCAAACTGTGTGTGGATTCGTCCACTCTCATGCTGCAAGTATGAGGTCTCTACGCTTAGATGCTGTGTATGCCTGGCATGTTTGGTAATCCAGCTCAGCAACCAGTGGTAACTCTTATCTCTGCTGGGAACCTCCAGAGTGATCATGTAATGCCGCCTAAAGAAGACCATGCCTATCTGTGCCCCCTTCCTGGCAACTGCCAGCGCCGTGCCCACACCAACCAGTCCAAAGCCAGCCCCAAAGTAGGGGTTGTCCTTCAATGCTCCAAGGAAATCTGAAAAGGTCATTATCTGGATGTATTAAGTGTAACTGCCTCTTCCGTCCACTGTGCACTCTGCAAAACATGAGATCATAAACATGTACAGTTATCCCAGTCTAATCAACACTGAAACGGCTTTGAAAATGTCCAGATGCTGTGATTATCCAGTTATTCTCTATTCTCTGGCACTGAATGAAGTCAAGAGGAAAAGCATAGTCTGCATTACTTACGCTAATCTCATGGGCATCTCCCAAGATCGTGTTCACGTCATAGTTTGTGTAAGATAATCTCAAATGGATACATATTTGCTTCTAGTCTAGTGTTTCCTGTGATTTGGAGACACAGGCACAGCCATTGAACAAACGGCCAGGACAAATCACATGGGCAGCACCATGACACCTCAGATGTTCAGGAAAACAGTTCCCCCTCGAAACGAGTGCCACCAAAATAGTTCCATACTAAATGCTAGGTAAAAAAATAAACGTCAGTGAAATAAGACTAATAGACGTATAACCTTAAAAAACAAAACATGCTTCAGAATGTCTAATAACCCGGCACGTGAAATGTATCCTCCTTTTTCAGCCTTTTCAATGCAGCAGTAACGTTAATGTTGTTTTGTAGAAACAAATGGCGCCGCTCGCACGACGTTTTCCATGATACCATCAGAGCAGGTAATGAGAGAAGATTAACAGAAGAAAAATCTTTTTTTAAAATCGTTTTTGAGTGTTTAGTTAAAGTGCTGAATAGCTGGACTTTTTAAGAGCCCAAAATGATGTCTGAATGAGGCTAGTGTTGTGGTGTTAGCCAGCGAGGTAACAACACGAGCTGGCCCGAAAATGCGCTGTTTTCCAGAGTGAAATGATCTGAAAACTCGAGGCAGTAGGTCTCATTTCTGTTTCGATGGAAATCACAGAGTGCTGTGCTTCTGTCAGAACACTTCAGTTATTCCGTGTAAAACACGTTGTGTATCTTTAAAAATGTATTGGCCATTTTAAAAAGTATTGAAGAATATAAAGGAACCCACGAGCTGAAATGACGAAGGGATCTGGACCACAGATCTAATGTCACCCTTTTTGTTTTATTGTGTTAATCTCAGTTGGATGATGTATGGTATTCCCACATTATTACTAACTGTGGGAACTGGGATGTGGATCTTTTAGTCTTCCTGAAGCAGGGTGATGGTGTAAAGCCCTGATGCCGCGGAACTCTCCTTGTGAAGACACACTTGTCCAACTCACTCACTTTAAGGCTTTACAACTGGGGTTTCATTGCTGGAGAGGATGGAGGAACAAAAACTAAGCCTGCGTGATGAAGATCAGCTTCATGACAGCTTACAACATGAGAATGCTGTGACAAACAGGGGTAAGAAAGGATAATTACAGGTGTAGCTAAACATTCAGAAGCCTTAAAAAGACCCATCACAAAATTGCGTATTGAATAATAATCATCATCATCATCATCATCATAATGATGATAATAATACATTTCACTAATCACACCTATTAATTTCATCTGTTTTTTTCCATCTATTTTACCAGTTCATGACCAGAAAAACACTGCGATACAACATGATTCACTGTGTGAGAAAAACAAATCCGGAACTCCAAAGAAGCAAAAAGAGAAAGGAAGAAAAGTGCAAAATTGTTCACCAGCTTTGTCTCAAGATGAAGAGGCTGATGTTCAGAATCCCCAGCCTCAAGTACAGAAAAATCCAAGCAAAAGAGGAAAAGCCTCACTTCTTAAGAGGAAAATGTCTGTGCACTCCAAGGTCCAAGGTGAGCAAATGTGAAAGTTCTCTAAATTTAAGAGTTCTCTAAATTCTTTAAATTGTTTTATTGTATTTTATTTTATATTTTCATTTGTTAATCAATTCTTTCTTTCATTAAAGAAGCTTAAGATTAAGTGTAATGTATTTAAGAACTGTTTGTGAATTTTGCATGTTTCTGTGTTATAGATCACGTGGAAGAGGGCGCAGAGCACATGTTTCGCACTCACATTTGTACAGAATGCAGGCGTTGCTTTAAAACCCGCTCACATCTGATGGAGCACATGCGTCTTCATTTTCCTGACCCTAGCCTGCAGTGCCCCACCTGCAAGCACTTCTTCACCAGCAAGAGCAAGCTGCGGGTCCACATGCTGAGGGAGTCTGGTGAGAAGCTGCACCGCTGTCACTTGTGTGATTATGGTGCAGTGGAGCGCAACACCCTGCGCCGCCATCTCATCAGCGTGCATGGTGATCCAGGAGAGGATGAAGGTGCCACGGACCTCTATACATGCCCGACCTGCCAAAAGAGCTTTCGGCAGAGTCAGGCGTTAAAGGGTCATATGAAGTCCCATCACATGACGCACGATGGGCAACCTCTGCACTGTGTCAAACTGGGATGCTCCTTTCAGTGCACAGAAAAAAAAGTGCTTCAGAAGCACCTGTTCGATGTGCATAATATCAAGGCCATAGAGTGTCGCCACCATGCCTGCAGTGCTTTGTTCGAATGTAAGGCTGATATGGAGGCGCATTTTCTGACCCATCAGGCCTTTCACTGCACACATTGTGACTTCACGTGCTCTAACAAGAGTCGTTTTCAGCAGCACAAAAGACAAGGCCATGCAGGGGACACACAGCTCAGTTGTAACTTCTGTCCTTTCACCACTTTCAATCCAGTGGAGTTTGACCAGCATGTAGGCCACCTTCATGCCAGTGAGAAAACACACAGATGTCAAGAGTGCAGCTTTGTGACTGCTCACAAAAGAGTTCTTAAAAGACACATGCTGATGCATACAGGTGAGATAACCCTTAAATATGTTATTGTATATTTTGTATATATTGTACAAATCTCAATTTCAAAAAAGTTGGAACAGTATGTGAAATGCACATTAAAACAGAAAGCATCTGTAAATTTGTAAATCCATGTTGACCTGTATCAAAACAAAAACAGATGAGCTATGCAATATTTTACCTTGTCAGCTTTATTGTTTTTGTAAATATACACTCATTCAATTGACGCAAAAAGTTGGAACAAAATTACAGAAGCACCATTCACTAAAATAAAATAAAAAACAGCTACTTACATCATATCAAAAATAAGGCTTTCAAAACTGGATCAACTGGTGTCTTTAGTCCTCAAACAATTATCAGGTGTTGATAAGATGATATGACACAGTAGTAAACTTGCTCCAGTCCCAACTTTTTAGGAATGTGTAGCAGGCATTCATTTTGGAATGAGCATATGTTTACAAAAAAAGAAAACCATTAAAGTTCATAAGGGTAAACAACAAAACATGTGTTTTTGTACTTTTTTGTTTTCAGTTTACAGAATTTACTTACCACTGTTTTCTTTTTTTATTTGCATTTCTTATACTCTCACAACTTTATTGTTACTGGTTTGTGCATGTTTCTGTATATATCTGTACAATGCAGTATTACTAACTGCGGTGGTCATGGATTTATTTATTCATTTTTCAGGCGAAAAGCCCCACAAATGTACAATGTGTGAATTCAGATGTCGAGATGAAACGTATCTCTCAAAACACATGCTGACACATTCTGATGACAAGCAGCACATGTGTTCAGAGTGTGGCTATGTTACCAAATGGAAGCATTACCTGAATGTCCACATGCGCAAACATACTGGTGATCTCAGGTATGTTTCATTCTCGATTTTTTTTTTCTTAACTTTTTTGAACTGACACTTGTATCACTAAGTTTCCTATTCTCACTCTAAGGTACAAGTGTAACGAGTGCATGTACCGTTGCCACCGCATTGACCAGCTGAACAGCCACAAGCTCCGGCATCAAGCCAAGACTCTGATTTGTGAGGTGTGCGCTTATTCTTGCAAGCGAAAGACTGAATTGCACAAACATATGCAGCTCAAACACTCAACGAGTGAAGACCACCAGCCTCCTCTTTACCAGTGCAAGTTCTGTGCATACACAACCAAGTATCGCCAAGCTCTTCACAACCATGAAAACTGCAAACATACTCGGACAAGGGAGTTTCGTTGTGCCCTCTGTTCGTACTCCACGTTTAGCAACACTGGCCTCTTCCTGCACAAGCGGAAGGCCCATGGGTACGTGCCTGGGGATGTGAAGTGGCTGGAGACATATGCAGAGAAAGAGAGACAAAATAATTCAATGGAGCTGATGCAGAACTTTTATTCTAAAGTTGTAGGCTCTGAAAAAATAGCTGAGGAGCACTCAAGAAGACAGGGGGGTTCTGAAGGTAATTCAAAAACCTCTAACCAAGTGGAGTTGCAAAATGTTATTATGACAAATGATGACCAAATTCCCAATAGTTGTGAAATAGTGTATGATTCAGAGAACATAAGTACTGTCTTAGAACACCAGGGCAGTTCAGATGTTAATTCATTTGGAGATGAGACAAACAATGAAACAGAACAGCCAGTAAAGATCAGACAAGTTCAGCCAGTTGTCCTTGACCAAGATCAATGTTGTATTCTAACCCCAATAACATGCACTGGTACTGCCCAGGCAGCACCCTTGCATACTGAATCAGAAGACCAGGGAATCACAGATGTGCCTGTTGATAGCTTCCCTGGGCCTGACACATCATGCAACATTCCTGAGATCCCTGTTGAATCTGTAAGTGAAGAGGAAGATGATGCTTTGTCAGACCATGAGGAAGGTAGTGATTCCCAAGAGCAGACACTAGACAGGGGAAATGTGATCTTGCAAGAAGGGCCCCAAAACTCATTGGCCCATCATGCAGTCTCCTCATTGGTCCCCTCAGTTGATGGTGCAGGTTCAGAAAATCTTCTCCAAGTTATGAGGAGACGGGACAAAGACCAAGCTGAGGCACTGATACTGGAAGGTAGAGTGCAGATGCTGGTGGTCCAAACCCAGAACAACATGTACCAGTGTGATCACTGCTCTTATGTGACACGAAAGCAGGCAGCCTTAGTGCGGCACTGCAGATCTTCCTGCCAGGTCATGAAAGCAGCTCTCCAGTGCCAGGACTGCGGTTTACGCTTCAAACAATTACGTTCTTTTAACACCCACCGTCTCCGAAAGTGTCTTGCACTGCAGAAGAAGAAGAAGAGGTTCTCTGTTGTGGAAACCTCAGATAAGATTAGAGATTTTGGAACTACACAGGCCCAGGATACATTGCATAATAAGAATGAGGCTGCACGCCCTTTGTCATCTGTCACAGAGGCTGATCAATGTGGGGACAATGTGCTGAAAAGCTCAACTGGAGATAAAGGGGCAAATGTCATCCCAGAGATGAATAATACAAACCATGCTTCTGCTCCAACTGAGTCCCTGGGCTTGGCAGCTGTTGAAAGCTGTGGTTACTATGAAGATAATTATAAGTTCACCTGCAAAATATGTTCCTTTTCATGTAGCAGGAAAGCCACAATAGATCGTCATTGTGCAGGCTGCTTCCGAAGCAGAGCTAGAAGTAAGCTGACTGTGAATGAGCAAGAGGATGAACACGGTGAATTAGATTGTGAGCAGGAACAGCAAGATGGAGAAAACACTGAAGGAGACTCAGGAGAGAAAATAGTGAAGACTGCAAAACGATTTTCCTGTACCAACTGTCCATTTGTTTGCCAACAGAGGAGAGCGTTAACAAGTCATGAGAAACGTGGCTGTTTAAAGCCTGGCGAGATCCAGTGCCAGCAGTGTTCGTTTGTGGCCAAATCAGTGAAATCTCTAAACCACCATGTCCTAGTTCACAGTAAAGACAAGGATTTTAAACGAGGCAAAAGAGCTCAACTTCACTGTAAGCTTTGTACCTTCACTTGCAAGCAAGAACGATGTATGGCGCAGCACGTGGCACTGAAGCATGAGGGTGCTCGCCCGTTCCACTGCCGCTTCTGTGATTTCAGCACAGCACGGCGCCACCGTTTGGATGCCCATGAATCCAGGCACACGGGCATCGGTAGACACTGCTGTGAGCTATGTGGTCAGACCTTTGGCACCTCATCTAAGCTACGGCTGCATCACCAGCGAATCCATGACAGACAAGCCACCCACTTCTGCTCTCTGTGTGACTACAAAGGCTATAATCCTACCGACATCAGCCGCCATACCCTCAGCTGCCACACAGGAGAGTTAAGCCATCCCTGCAACCAGTGTGAGGCCCGCTTTAGCTCTGATATTGCTTTGAAACAGCATAGTAAGCGGACACACCAGGCTACCAGCAGCCAGTGCTGCACCCAGTGTAGCTTCACCTGCAACAGCAAGGCCATGCTTAAAGCCCATGTACAACGTGAACATTCTCAAAAGGATAATGCGATCTCACAAGGAAACTCTGACTCTCATGTTCCTGAAAAGCGCTGCAAGGTCTCCCTCACCCAGAAGTGCCCAGATTGCCCTTTCACCACTGGAAAGAGGCTGCTGCTTGTCCAGCACATCTTGGATGAGCATGAGGGAGGATGTCAGGAAGAAAAAACTCTCAAGTGTGATGTCTGTGGCTTCTCTTGTTTCCATCAGCTGGTGTTTGACCAACACATCCGTTCGCATGGCGGTACCTGCCTCTACAAGTGCACTGAATGTGACTTCTCAACCCGGAACAGACAGAAAATCACCTGGCACATGCGCATCCACACAGGAGAGAAGCCATACCAGTGTGAGAAGTGCAGCTATACCTGTGCTGAACCTTCTCGGCTCAAGGTATGAAATGTCATAAGATGGCCAAATACTTAATTTGAATACTTAATCTGCATAAGATGGCCAAATACTTACTTATGCCTGACAGTTCTTTTTCCACAAGGCAGTTAGAAGTGTTTAAACAGCACTGGATTTTCATGACTTAATGGATCTAAACAGACGTCATTGTTCTTAAATTATTGTCTTCATTGCAGTATCACATGAGGATTCACGAGGATGAGCGCAAATATCTCTGTCCAGAGTGTGGTTATAAATGCAAATGGGTAAACCAGTTGAAGTACCACATGACAAAACACTCAGGTAATCGCCACCTTCTACAATGTGCAATGTTTGTAATATGTTTATTATTTCTTCTTTGTCCAGACCTTGAATACAGTTTCCAGTACTGAGTTTTATATTTACAGATTGAACTGTTCATGTATCAGATTGGACATCTAGTGGCATACTTTCCAGTGACTGCAAAATCCTGGACTGGAAACTGGATTCAAGGTCTGGATTTGAAGACCTCTGTAGTATGTATTATAGTGGTCCTCATCCTGGTACTTAGGGACCCCCAGATTGTCCAGATTTTTTGTCCAACCTAACTCACAACACATAAGGATAGAGCAAAAATGTGGACCATCTGATTGGTTTGAGAACCACTGATGTATTAAATATGCAAGAAGTGCTCACTAAGTAATTATTATAATCCTCCTTTGTGCTAAGGTGCCAAATCGTATGCATGTGAGGAATGTGAATATCGCACAAACCGCGCTGATGCCCTGCGCGTCCATTGCGAGACGCGTCATCGAGATGTGCGCTCCTTCATCTGTGAGAAGTGTGGCAAGGCTTTCAAGACCCGCTTCCTGCTCAAGACGCACCAGAAGAAGCACAGTGACGAGCGGCCCTACGTGTGCTCCATATGCCAAAAGGGTTTCCGATGGCCTGCTGGCCTCCGGCACCACTATCTCTCCCACACTAATCAGCTGCCCTTCCGCTGCCTCTATTGCTCCTACCGTGCCAAGCAGAAGTTCCAAGTGGTGAAGCACTTGCGTAGGCACCATCCAGACCAGCCCATGCAGGGAGGGGTGGATAAGGACCCTGACACCCACACTGTCCCGCTGCAGAAGGCCCGCTTGAGGCCAAAAGAAGACTTGCAGATGGATGGACAATGTGTTGCAGAGAAAGAGAGAAACACTGAAGAACATTAGTCTGTCTTTTTATTCTCAGTGTTTTTAATTAGAGAAAAGACACTGTATTAGTCCTGTAATGAGCTTCTGCTCAAGTGAAACTGAATTAATGCCTTTTAGCTGAATTAATATTTAAATACTTACGTATTCAAAGGAAAACTCAATTAATTCATCACATGGAAGGTGTCAACAGCATTTATTGAGGTCATCGCCGGATCGCTCAGTGAACATCTAAGAATAGATAATGTCCCTAACTGACTGACTGACTGACTGAAATGCACATGTGCAACGGTTTCAAGGGATATTACATACGGTAGGTGGTGCAATTTTAGGGAACAGCAATATCAACAGTAGTGAACACTTTCTAGTGTGGGTGTGTATATGTTTAGAGTTTTATACTAAGTATAGAGAATATTTATATTCACTTTATTAGTCCCTTCTGTGAGTTACATGCATCCAGTGTATACAGCAGACAATAGTATTTATAGCAAAGTCATACCTTCACTACTGTAAGACTACAAGTAACAAGATTCAGGGATTCAAGGGATACAGAAACAGAGCTTTCAGGAAAGTCTTCTGGGTTTTGGTATATTTTAGAGCACAAGATTGTCAGGAACAGGGTATCTTGACAACAACAAATAAACGTTTAACAGTTAAAACTTAGAATAAATGCTTTAACAGTTTAAAATGAAACCTACTGGTTTACAGGATCTAAAACTCTACATATACAACTTTTTAGAATTTTTTATATGGCTCATTTAAATGCAGTGCTTAATAGCTTGTAGTAGCCTAACAGCATGAAAAAAGTGTTAATGCATCAGTTTAATCTACAGCTCTGGAGTATACTTATACAGTAAATACTGATCATATATTATTGTAAAGCTGAAAAGGCACTATACTGACTTTACTGTTTAGCTAAAGTTTTTCACTGAAGTCTACATATCTCATTACAAGAGCAATAAAACCTGAATACTAAAGCCTGCAGTTTCTTCAGTTTTGGTTAATGTGGGAAATATTGCTTTATGTGCATATGCAGTATACAAATAGTGTTAGCGGAGTTATAATGCCTAAACTCTTGAAGTCTTAAATGTGCACACAGAAACACACAATATGAGTTTGCATAACTTTCTGAATTACATCTTTTCATTGCGTGGAAGTATTTGTCCGGATATCTCAAGGATGCTGCATGCTCATCTAGGAGGCTTCTGTAATATTAATGTTAACAAACAGAGAGGAGGGGAGAAGGCTTGTGCCGTCTTTCGATAAAAGATGAATGTGGCGATACCCTGGAAGAAAGAGAAACACATATCAGTTTAATTTACCATTTTAATAATTTATAACTAGCTTATTATTTTGAGTGGAGTGACTCTGTCCTGATTGCTAACTCACCTGACTGAATGCAGGAGAAGGGAACTGTGTACTGCCCTATAAAATCATTCTTGGTTGCCATGTCATAGTCCTCCACGACAAAGCGGATGAGTGCCAGTTCAGGAGTATGGACCACAAACTCTAATGTTTCGTTCCAGCATGGGTTGAGTCCTGCACATACGAGAACAGGAGAAAAAAACAGTGCTAAAACAATCTATGGGACTGAAAGCACTCAAATCCCATTACATGATGATGGATAGTTCATGTTGCATAAATGCATTTTCAAAAAAAAAAAATCCTTGTCATATGGAAATCTCGAGACGGCTCGGCAACATCATCTCTTTTCCTTACCATTGTTCTCAATGTAGCTTGTCTCCTGTGTGGCCTGGTCCGGAGGTACACCATATATCTCCACCCTTACAAAAGGGTCTACAATGGAGCCTACTTTGTTGTTTACTTTAGGGAGCTGCTGGCCACTAATTACCTAAAAGCAAAACACCAAGGGATCAGACATTTAATATTTTTAGTTATATTTGTCTCACTCAAGTTATGCAAGCCTGGATTAGAACTGATTAGTGAGTCTTTCATTGCCTGAATAGTGAGGATGAGGGGACAGTAATCTTTGCGGTCCTGAGGCCTCTCTGGATTGAACTGTTGCTCACTGTTGCGCAGGATCTCAGGTTTCAGAACATATCCGCAGTGGTTATTCTGACTAAAAAGACCATCATTAAGATCCATCTCCAGTCCTGCTGTCTGGAAGTTTAAAGCCACTGTGGATCAGAAACACATTACCACTTAATGCAGTTTAAAATCCACTTCCAAGCCACCAGCCCTTATTGCATTTGTGCAATTTACACTTTTAAAGACATTTCCATTCGATTTAATTAGATTGATTTGTACAGCACAATCAGTAATGTTCGATTAACTTCCACAGCGATTAATTTATACCTAATTTACACTTTCTAGAGTTAATTTGGCTTCAGTTTAATTGGATTTCTTATTGACTTACCCATTTGGCATCCCACAATCCACATGTCTTGGGGACAGAAGTTTGAAGAGTCTGTCCTTAGGCCACTAGGATACACCCTGGTAATCTGCCTTGCGTTGTGCTGAACAAAATCAGCAGCTGTGGAAATATCAGAAACAAGAGCATGTTAATAGAATTACTAGAATAAGAATTTTAACCATGAAAAACTGCAAACCTGTGTAAATACATATGACTTTTTTAACAGTACTGAACATCATTATGAAATCTACAGTACTGTGCAAATGTCAGAAACCACCCTTTGTTTATTTAATTTCCAGTCAAAACTTCCGTTAAGTACAAGTTTTTCATTTTTTCAGCATTTGGAAAAAAGCAAACAACATATATTTAACAGAAAATTACACTGAAGCCCCAACAACTAAATTATTTCTAAAATATTTCTCCACACCTCCAAAGTTCAATTTTAGAAGTTGGTTACATTTTCTGCCTTTCACAACCCAAGTAATCCCAAATACATTCAATGATGTTGATGTTGAGACTCTGGAGTGGACAGTCCATTGTTCTGAGAACACCAGCAGTTCTTTGTTGATTTGCAAAGTTGTCTTCTCAAGGTGGAAGGACAGACAGAAACACCTGTGTGTGTGTGTTTTTTTCAGATCTGAAGCAAGAGTGGAGCTTGATTTTCTCTTCTCTGTCAAAGATGAAAGCTTTAAGTACTGTTTATCTGAGGGTGGCCGTTTTGGTGATCTTGCCCAGTAGTTAGGAGTCCCATTTTCTTTATATATTTTGATAATTTTTTTTAAATCCAATTTTGGAAACTGCTGTTTTTTTCACTCCTGTTTATGTCCTCAGAAATATCTCCTGAGAAAATCAGTAACCTAATGGCCAGTAAGTGAATAAATGAAGGGTGGTTCTTAGCTTTTGCATAGCACTATATGTCAGCAAAGACAGGATGAGTCTAGAATTTGTCATATTAGAATCTGTGACAATGTGCAAAGGTGTACATATTAGATTTATTTTGATACATAGTGCACGGGTACTATAAAAGTGCCAGAGAGAGAAACAGTTTCACAGACTTAAAAGCGTAGCCTTAAAGAATGTCAATATAAAATGGTCTTTAGCTCTTCCAGTTGCTTAATTCTTGATGTCTTGGCAAACAAAACATTGTTTTCTACAAAGTAATTTTACATAATATTTTGATACATTTTATACATAAAAATATGATAATGTAAGCATTGCCAAATTTGTTATTATCTCTGCAACAAGAGTGTTTCTGAGCCTACCTGCTTCCTTGATAATTTTGCGGCCCTTGGACTCAGAGAAAGAGGATATGTCATATGGCTTGCCGTGGATGCGTGCATGTTCAAAGTTGTTGAAATGTTCATTCTTGCAGTATATGACAAGGTCCGAAAGCTCCTTGGTTAGACTGCGCTTTGATTTCTAGTCAACAACAAACAAGAAACGTTTAAAACACTGATCTAGAATTTTATAAAATAGGGAAGGGAAAAAGTAGGACTTTATTTGCATAGTCACTATAGTTGGTTTGAAGATGTTTAACCAACTGTTTACTAATCAGCCTAACCTAAGTCTAATCCTAATCCCAACCTAATATTTTATTTCCATTTTTCATCTTCTCAGTGTAATTATAAGCAGTTCTCACTGTATTATGTCAATCACCTATTGTTCAACAGCACCAACAATCTGTGTTATGCAGCGCTATTAAGCTCTGTATTGGTGACCCTTGGACATTGATGGCACATGGCACTTCTGAACCCTGAACCTAAATCCTAGGTTTAGAACACATTTGTGAACCATTTCAGGGGTACTATCTAAATAAAGTGGGACCAGAACAATAAATGTCGTAGTTAGTAACACAGAATGTACTGAAACAAAAAACAATGTGTCGTTAATTTATTAATTGAGAGTGTAAGAAACACATGCTGTGCACACGTCTGCCTACCTTTCTGTCTGATGGCAAACTCTCTGTGGTCAGGCTGTCCCTGCGCAGCTCTGAAGAATCGTCTTCATCACTCACTTCACCGCTTACTGGATTGTCTGCATCCAAGGACTCCAGTCCTCCAATCTTCTTCCCTTTCACCAGAATTTTTCCCTTTAGTTCCTGAAACAAATGTACACATATGCAGGGCTTGGTTACTTTGTGTAAAATCATAAAACATTTTATTGTTGTAAAATAAAGTTAGAAACTTCCAACTACTGTCCAAATATACATTGATATTGATTTAGTAGAGTGCTCTCTAACTGGAAGAAAAAATGCCAGGCTAAGGCTGTCATGTTATGTGAAACATATACTCACGTAAATCTATAAATCAAAGTTTTTGAATTGTTAATGCTGAGGAAATCCATTATGATACATTAGATCATCCTCTTCTGATAGAAGTGAACATCACTATAAATTCTATATCAGCAAGATGTCCATGAACAAGTGTGGAAGGTTTTGTAAAAGTGTTTAAAAGGCCCACATGCTACATTTGTCCTGTATTTTATTTTTTGTCTCAACTATGAAATCATAATGTTTGTGTGGTTTTATGTACCAAAGACACTCATAAGTCATTTTTATATGACCTTTTTTAAACTTGTCTTTATCCTTTAGATTTAAACAGGCTGTTTTTGTTACTGTGCTTTTAAGACTGATATATGTAAATGAGCTCTGTTCTGATTGGCTGCAATATATTGTGCCTCATTCAGAAAGCAGTCCAGGCTGAAACACTACTTATAACTTGAGCATGAATGGGTAGAGCTAAACTGTAGGCTGAATAGGCAGATACACAGTGCTGCACAGAAGTCTGAGAAAATTAGGTTTAAAAGGCTGTTTATCTGGGCAGTAAGTGTTTATTTGCTAGTTTACTAATATTAGAAGAAAGACAAAGAATTAATTCATACAACATCAATACAATAAGTTGTTCCTCCCCTTGAGGAAACTCAGTGTTATTTGTAGTTATCATCTATACCTGGTTTGGCTGACCAATACTTCATTACATTAAATCAAGTGTTCTGGTGAAAAAAATTAACAAATGCATGCAATGACTGAGGGCATTGAGGACAAATCTGGAACCAAACTTAGCTCTTCAAAATAGCTCACAAGATATAAACTTTTGGCTCTGTTTATGTTTATTTGTAAATATTTTAAAGATATATGGTGTTTTTTCAAGCAAAAACACACTTGTGGGATAAATGTTTTTGAAAAATGTGCTTAGGTGCCGAAGACTTTTAGATAGTACTGCATGTGCTTGTACTGTTTGTGTTGGTTTTTTCAGAATGGACTGATTTTGTAGCCTAATTTTAATATATGGACTGCATGGGCTGAAGATTCAACAGTGTGTTTTGAAACGTTAAGACTGTTTACATTCTACATGAAACTCTTATTTAAAAAAGTGAGGAAAGGTATGGGCCCTTTAAAGTCGCTGCTAGTTACAAAATGATGCTGATCCTTAGCTCACCTCTGGAGATGGGAGTACACTAGGGACTTTGCCATCTATTGTAGTCCTCAGCAGCATGTCACCAAGGATATCCTTTAAGAGCTGAGCCATGACTTTCTGTTGCTCCACGCTGCACCGGTTTTCAATAGACAAGATAACTGGGTACTCTGAGGTCTGGAATGCACAGTGGATTGAAAAAATAGACATATTTAACTGCACAACTGACTCAGCATGTTTTCTGTTTTGTTGAATTCATCATATGTTTAAGACCATTTACCTTGAAGGCATATTTTGCCACTGTGTTAATTACATCTTTAAAGAGAATCTTGGATGTGAAAGTGTGTCCATGGTAAACGACAGGCTCTCCACTGGAACCATCCCAACAGTCGATCTCCAAGCAGCGACAGCCCCGCTTCAGAGCCCTAGAAAGAGGTTTATTAGCTTCTTTGGAAGATCAGAGTGACCTTTGACTGGGTTTAAGCAGGAAACCTCATGCTAAATGTATGTGTAACTGCTATATGCATATCGCTGCTGTCAGAAAAAAAAAACTTGTAGCTCCATTTTTGTCGTTTTTCGTTTTTTGACATAATTTGAAAATGCCTGTTGCTCTTTACATTGTGAATAAATTTCATGAAGAATGGAGCAAAAGAAAGGGCCCAAAATGACTTGGAAAAATGTCTGGTTCCATTGACTTACATTAAAAGTAAAGTAGGTTTTTTCCTTTTCCTGTAAAGGTATCATTTTGGAGATACATGGTTTTCTTTTGACAACAGCGACATATGTTTACAACATGTTGAGATACATTTCAGAATAAGGATTTATACTTTTCTTCCCAGAGCTGTTTTACACAATGTAGTCCACTCAAAAAGACAAAATCTGTGTTTTTTACTGAATGTAGCCCTCCACGCTGCTCCTCCCTTTCAGCTGGTCCTCTAGAAGGTACGTATTGTGTGATGAGCTGATAAAGTAATGGTTGAGAGGCTGAGTCATGTCCTGATAGAGACGCTGGTCTTCTGAGTTGAAGATGGAACCATCAGCAGAGGTCAGATACATCAAGAAGCCATCTATTGACATGGTGTGGTTGGTTTTGGCTGTACAAGAATGCACAGAGAAGAGATTCATGCTACATTCAATTGATCAATAAGGCTCTTATGCAAATGAATTAAACTGTACTGCCATTGAGCTCTTACAATAAGAAGCTCATAGCATAATAAATAGCAGCATAATAAAGTGTAATGGCTCGGAAAACTTTGTTAAGCGTTAGGAACTACTTCTTGAAAATGCCTGTCAGTGCAGCTTGTGTTGTTTCAGGTAGCCACCTGCCCATGGCTAACTGTACCTGTATCTGAAGGCTCATATCTTTGGATCAGCTCAAGCGCATGTTCTTGACTCCTGTCTCCCTCCAGCTGCTCCTCCCGCAGAAACTCCTCCAGGTCACAATGTGAGAGCGTTTGTCCATCGCTGGAGTACTCGTGGAACAGCTCCACAACCTCTTTTCTCTGAGTAAGCATCTTGTAGAAGTGGACAAATTCCTCACTTCCCAGAAAACCTGTCTGACTCTTATCGGCCGTCTATGTCAAGAAGGGTAAAGATAAAAGAAGTTGAGGAAAATGAATCTGTAACATTATATGCTTTCTCATCTACAGTCAGAATGACATAATTTGTTGATTTTCTAAGTGTAAATAAGTTAACATGCCCTCTACAGACAACACACTTCTGCACATTTCAGAGCACAATTACTGTTTATTTGATGAATTTTAAATATTTCAAAAAAATAAAACAAAAACATTATGGCACATTCAATATTTCTTTTTTTTCCAATATGTTAAACTCAGCAAATAAATTATGTACTAGAATTATTTAAAGGAGCAGCGTGTAAGATTTAGTGGCATCTAGCAGTGAGGGTGCAGATGAAAACCAACTGATTACCCCTCCCTTTCCAACCGTGTAGTAGAACCTATGTTTGCCATCAGGTTTTCTGCCACCGCCTGTGCCGATTTTGTTTTGGTTCCTTGTGTTTTCGATTCTTTGAAGGTGAGGATTCACCCTCCTTTGCTTTTTCTTGTACTAAATAATAAGGCTGATCCTCAATTTGTCAAAATTTGGGTTCTCAAACTTCTGACAATACAAAATCATTAGCCAGCACTGGCAGCAACCACTGATTCTTCTTTTTTCTATGTCTTCCAACTAGTGCTATAGTGGCACCAAATTCAAACTGCTGCTTCAACGTAAAAACATGAAAGACACTGTCTAGAGCCAGTGTTTGATTTGTCTGTTCTGCACTACTGTTGAAAGAGGAGTATGTAGATATGAAGGGCTCGTTCTAAGCTAATGAAAACACAATGATTTGTAGTTATAGGTGATGAGTTTTGTATACTATATTCCATTTCTGCTAATAGATCCTCCTAAATCTTACACACTGCACCTTTAAGTGTACCTGTAGAAGATGTGTTAACTTATTCTCACTTTGAAAATCAATAAAACACGTCATTTGAGTAGGGGTGGTCAAACTTTACCCTATAACTGTATGTTTAGTATTCGCTGGGTTTTGGTTGGTGGATGTCAACCTTCAAGATGGATTCACAATGCAGAGTGGTCTCTTTTAAAGCAGTTCTGAGTATATATATAAGTAATAAGGTGTACACATGACTCCCTCACTGGTCATTTGGCAGGCCACGTTGCTTGTCACAGCACTGGAACAGATATTCCCTTCCAGTATTGCCTTAATCACTTTGAAAAAAGTCTCCACTCTGTTGACAAACGTCACATCTTGTCACCATGTAACAGCATGTACTTACTGCTGTGTACTCTATATTTGTAGGATTTTAATGTGCTCTACAGTTTTAATGTTTATGTTTAATGTAATACAGCCTAATAGAATTAGATTGCCTCTAATGTCCATGACAATTTTTTTTCTATTCATTGTACATGAAAGAGGATTAGAAAAAAAATGCAAATGACCAGTCCTCAACTCACCCTAAAAAGAGAGCTTGCGTGGTCTTCATTCATGTCCATGTTCATGAGCTTCAGCAGCCTGCGGACCTCCTTAAAGCTTATCCTGCCATCTTTGTTCCTGTCTGCTTTCAGAAACAAGTCAGAGATCCATCTGAGCAGATTAATTGTTAAAGGAAAACAGTCTCTTATTCATATTCAAATGAGTTGGAATGTTTTAAACCCTTAATCTCTAGACTTAGTATTCAGGGAGTAGTATAAATTATTTGGTAAGTACTATGAAACTTATATATAAGTTATGTAGTTATGAGATGGAGGAACTGAATTGTGAACTGTAGTGTACATAAGAAGGATACTGGTCAAGTTTTTCACTCTCGCCCATGTTCTGCAGATTCTCTATGAGGGTCTGCATACCCCTTATCCAGGCCTGAGCCTCCTCGGCTGACTCTGCCACCAAGTCCAGGTTCCCACGGCGGCCACGGAAAACAAGCGTGAAACAGCGTTCTGGAGGATATTCATCTGCGACACTCAGGAACACCTCGGACTCATGGCCCTCACGCACTGCCTCCACATCACCTACAGAGACTACAGGCGCAAACATTGTGTATAACTGCAGCATAAAAACATACAGTGGTGCAGCACTATGGATCTTCATGAGGCCAGTTAGGAGCCAAGCAGGCCTGCACAGCAAAATTAGCAGCATTAAATTACAAAACAAACAGGTATAACTGTACAAAGAAAACTGGAGGTCTGTTTACCATTGATGGATTTGTTGTATGCAGTACCAAAATTAGTAAATACTGTTTAAAATCAGTCATCAGGGTATTGGCTGTGACCAGACAGGAAAATGAAATCATCACATTTTACTTCTTCTATCTTTTTCTGATTATGCAAATGCAAGTTTTCAATCAGTACCCAGAGTTCCACATTAATCCACATAAATTCTGACTAATCCAGCGGAAAGGGATGAGCATGATGGATTTCAGCATGCATACTAACAATAGCCTCTACTGCTAGGGAGGATTTGACACATTTTGGGAGTACCTACAGGTTGAGAATGAGTTCATAGCCCAGCTGGATTTGTACGCGATGGTCTTGCAGTCGTCCTGCAACTTGTAGTGGCGGTGTCCTCCCCAGATGCGAGACTTTGCTTTTCTCAGGACGCTTCCAGCCTTCATGATCTCGAGACTAGCATCTGGCTGGACACCTGAAAGATGGTGGAATAAGATCCATCAATAAAGCACGTTCACTGCCCTCACATGGCTTTATTGTTTGGTCAGTTATGACAAAAGGGGGTGGGGTGGATTAAGGTCAGATGAACTTACAACTTTGCTGGGGAGATTCCATTTCCCACACACGGCTTACCTGTGAACATTAATGTTTATTAATTTTTTTAATCACCTTCCACACTCCAACACATAATCAGAGCTCAACCCACCAGTGACTCACAGTGAATGATAAATCCTTTTCTTGAATGAAGTACATGTGGTTAGCAGAGATTAAATACCTCACTCTGTAAGCCATTACTGAGATTGTGCCTTGTTAATTGAAACCCAATTTATCTGCTACACTCAGGAACACCTCGGACTCATGGCTCTGGTGCACCATTCATGGGCATTCTCTGGAGACTGGGCGTGCACCAAAGAGATTTCAAAGAGAACATCCTGCATGTGGTTTGTCCAGGGAGGATCTGAGAACTCCCCAGAGTCCTATAATGTTCTCTGTATAATGCTGTGACCATTTGTTAATTATACATTAAAGAAAACCATGGCCTGTTTTCTTTTGTTGCTAGAGAAGAGTAAAGCTGAGTAAAATGCTTGACTTGTTAAAATCAATATGCTCTAGCAACGCATCTTTGGAAAGCAGCAAAAGGGAAATAATTTGACTAATATAAGACCAAACATTTTTGTTTCATTATTTAATGCAGAAACATGAGAGCTAATTCCCTATCCTACATAAGACTCACTCTATTGCACCAGCATTTATCCAGAGTTTAAAATCTACTAATACGTGTTCACGTGCTGCAGTGCAGTTGAGCATAATATAGAAAAAGAGTTGTGGGTTAGGGCTAAAAACAGCTCTGAAACGGTGAGACAAATAAACAGTACACAGAGCCTGTGTTAGGCTCCAGTGTGACCCCACCAGACTAAGAAAAATGCTTACTTATGAAAAGACTTCTGAACAGTGAACGAGGACCAGCAGACTGCCTTCACAGTACAAACTTAAGCCATATTATATCAATGTATTCAGATATATAGTATAGTTTCACAAGTGCTATAAGCTTTAGTTTAATTGATTTATTCTGGGTTTTTAGCCTCATAACGGCCTGCTTTACTGGCATTCACACTGGCAGCCTGTGTCATCACTTGTATAGTTTTCCAGCACAGATATTTACAGTACAAGTGATCAAGAATTATTTAATATGCATGTGTAAACACAGCAGGTCAAAATGTGCTTACAATAGCAAAATGTTGCTTAAATATCATTGAAGAGCAAAAATGAAAGTATAAATACATCCTAAACTAAAAATAAGTTTATCTTCCATCCCATCCCTACTGTAATGTGAGCCCTACTCCCAAGCAGAGAGAGGCAGAGAGAAATACAGTGTTTCTACCACATCTACAGTAAAGAGCTTTGTAATGGAAAAAAGCTACATCAGAGCTTAATAATTCCTTACACATGGAAAAGGAAGAGAAGCAGCCAGACAGCAGGCAGAGAGAGCACTCACCGGGCTGAGAGCAGCAGATGCGCAGGGCCTGTGAGACAGAGACTCTTCAGGGAGGCTGTGCCCTCAGCTCTGACTGAGCACACTGAGAGAGAGAGAGAAGCTGAGAGAGCAGAGTTGTGCTCAGTGCTGCTCTCCTGCCCCTGCACAGCCTCCCTCCCTCCTCCTGTCTCTCTCACTCCTTCTTCGCCACTCCCACTTATCCTTTTCACACTGTCATGCTGCCAGGCTTCCATTTGTTAACCTACCGCTCTTGCTTCTGCCACTGTGCATCAATTACCACTTCATTTCCAGCCATAAAGCTAGAATGTGTTGTTTTTGCTTGTTGTATGGATGCTTCTTTGAATCAATTCAGTTTTAAAGTTGATGGTACAGCTTAATAAAATGTATTATTGTGTATTTTCATTTATTTAGCTAAGGGAGCTGCACTGACATCTAGCTGGAAAAGATTGATGGTGTGGCTCCATAACAACATGAACAATGAAACAATGTTTAACACACATCTTCCAAAGAATATTTAATTTAATATCTTTGCCCAAAGTCATTTCAAAAACGTTTTAATGCATTACATGACAATTTTAAACCAAATTTACCATTCACACTTGACAGACAAAAATAACAGACTTTGGTTAAAGGGAAAATCCACCAATTGTATAAATAAAATTCTGTGTAACTAAATCGTTGAGGTAATTCAGAGTAGTTGTGCACTGTAGAGAAACTTACCTACTCAAAAATCTTTAAAACCACAAACTGCACATGCCTTTTGGGTTTTTGTATGTAATTTTGATAAAGATAAAACAATTTTATTTATGCACTAAATCTCCTTACAATGGCTGCATGTACTTTTCCACCATTGATTTACTAAAAAAAAAATACATTTTGTGCCAACCCTATATCCCAAAAACGTCATGAAACAATGTCTCGAGGATCAGGCAGTATAATCATAATCACTTCATGTAATAACTTTCTGTGAGGGAGCTTTTAGAAGTATTGAACTGCTCAGATTCCTATCATCACTGATGTGAAAAATTCTGACCTGGTAAGTTTCTCTAGAATAGAGCTTTTCACATAAAACCCCTCTGCTCCGAATGACTATATTTACATCATAACCACTTAATCATTATTAATTTTATAATACACTATAGGACTGTTTTCGATTATGCAAAGCCTCCAGTTCCAGATGAAGGATGTGGAAATTTACTTTGACCTTCAGAACATCCTAAAGATTCTCAAGACTGGAAAGCCATACAGGGCATTTGACTTAATCGTTGTGTTTAAGAAGTCACTATTGAATTTGTTAAGCGGCATATATAAGCAGTGTCTCATCTTGGAATGTAGGAACACAAGAAAGGGTGCTTGTAGTGTGGGGTACATATAGTTCTGTACAACAGCCTCTATGGCCTGACTGTGTGGAGTAATCACAGAATCTCTAGAGGATTGATCATTCTATCATGGGCACACAGCCCATGCTTAAGAGGTGGCCACAGACATTGTGGCATGAAGACATTTTTTGGCTTTATCCAAATCTAAAGATGTTGAAAAAGGGTCAACGATGACATATCAGACCATATTACTTTCTTATACCATTTTACCATTTTTTTCTGAGTTCCCTATTAAACAGCAGTGGAACCTTATCTCATTCAGTGCATTTTTACTGGTGTCACTGCTATTTTCTGAAAAAATACAATTCCAATTCCATTAGGCCATCAAAGGTCGTGGAGACCACTTGAGTTCTACATCCTATTTACTCATATTGCTGTTGGCTAGACTATATGACTTACATATTACTTACTAGTACTTACACATTTTACATGTAGTCAAATTGAAAGATTTTACTCCAGCCCCATTTTACAGTTGTAAGACTTGCAAAAAAGCACACATGCAAGCATTCATAAGTCTGATTTTTTTTTACTTGCAGCAAAACCACTGTAATTAAACAGAATATACACCATGTGGATGTTCACACCCTGTGCTAAACTGAAATTATAAACCTCCACATAACATGCTTTTGCTTAAGGATCTGGGACAATTCAAAACCTTAACTTACTACATTTGATTGACTGCTATCCTGGAAAATTCTTTATTGACAAAATGAAAGTTAGTTAGCTTGACAGGGAGAGATTTTCAGACATAGAGGTGGAGACGTAGATAGATAGATAGATAGATAGATAGATAGATAGCTAGATAGATAGATAGGTAGATAGATAGATAGATGGATGGAGAGATGGATGAATGGATGGATGGACGGATGGATAGACAAATAGTACAGTGCAGTTGTTCTCGAATAATACATAAAGGTTGCAAAAATACTGGTACAGTACAGCTTCTGGAGAAATAAATAGTTAATTGTCCAATGATGAGATAATATCTTCACAATTTAAACCTCCAGAAAATGATCATAATTAAAATTGTTACCTACGTTTATGTCTGGTACTTTGTTTCTTTGCACAAAAATGATGTCAATATAGTCTTTAAATATTAAATGAGGTCAAATTGTTCCCAAAGATAGCAGGAGGAATAGGTGGATAGATATGCCCGTTATTTTATTTATTTCACTATACTTTTTTTATTTTACCATCCCAGTACAGGTGGTTTGGTGCGGCTTTCAGCGTTAATGTGGGCTCTGATGTGTGCTGGGCCGAAAAGCTCACACACGATGCACACTCAGGTATTCGCGTCAAAACAAGGCAAAATCTCGCGCGACTGGCGCTGATTCTCGCCTCCCATTTCCTCTGAGTTTTTCGTTCCCGCCATCACCGCAGCGCGCCGCATGCCGGCAGCTCTTCACCTCCGACACACAGAGACTGCACAGGAGAGATAACCTGCTGCTGTAAAACGTGCCCGCCTTCAAGCCTGGAATAAGGTACAGAATGGCCGCCGTTTTATGAGAAAGCTGGCGGTGTTTTACTCGCATAAGAAGTGTGTCTGTGGAGCAGCGCAGTGAGGAGGCTGCGTCTCCGGCCTGAGCCGCTTTAGCTCCGTGCTAACCGCTACAGCGCCGATGGAGCCCTGAGACTTATGATTGGTCAGCTAGCGCTCTGAACAGGAGACGAGGGAATGTGTGGAGCGCAGCCTGGCAGGACTACAGCTATTGTTTTTACAGGGCAATTCACCAGAGTGTATTTTTTTTCTTTTATTTTCATTATTGCCTGTGTGTTTCTCCAGCAGCGGCGTATTTCTCAGGTCTCTCCGGTTAGCAAAGACGTTACTTAGCTAATGTAATCAAGTTAGGTAGCCAGCTAGCCAGGCAAAGCTATTTAACCCGAGTGCTCTTATAGCTCGCCGTTTTGTTTGTGTTTCACTTTTAAACAGTAACGACCACAGAAACGTTGTCGGTTGTTCCTTATTTCTCAGTTTTATAAGACGAGGTATGTGCTGTGTGCTCGCCGCTGTGTTAAGTGTTACCCCTGGATGGATGAGCTAACTTTTTGCTACGAAGCTGAAGTCAGCTTCTTATTCGCCAACCTTTTTTCGGATTTTCCCATTCCACCTTAAATCCTACAGCAGTCAAATTCTGGCGCCAGAATGTAACGTTAACTGGTGCACCATTTAAGGTGGAACGGGAAAATCCGAAAAAAGAAGCTGGCGAATTGGAAGCCAGCTTAAGCATCTGTTGTGAGAAGTTCAGTGGGATGGTCAGGAGGTGGTGTAAAAACAAACACACGTTCATTATCCTCTAGCTAGACTGAAGATGAGGCATTTATACAGATGCCTCATGTTTATATCTTAGTCAAAATTAGAGTCTAAGCAAGGGACAGACTTTTAAAAACAGCACGTCTGAGCAGTTTTCACTGTTTAGCTCTTCGGTTGTTTTGATGTGAATGGCTGCGTTTTGCCATCAAGTGAACTCATTTGTCGGGATAGTCACACAAACGTGTTTCGTTAGTGTCGTTGCTTTTCGGGTGATGGCGCTTAAAACGCAGTAAAGAGGGGGTTTAAACTTCAGCCACGTATCAGATGAAAGCTGGTTGTTATCCCAGTGCACCGTATGTGTGTAGCAGTTAAGTTAATCAGCCACTGCTCGTGTTTTAATGTCCTGTTCACTCTGTGTGTCGTGTATTGTAGCTTAAACTGTGTTTTATTGCCGTAAAAGTCGGACTGGACTGTGGTGTTTGTCGCTGAAAAGCCTTTTCCCCGTCCTCTCTGTCTCTCCATTGTTAGGGCTTTCGTGAGGGACACTGGCCTCATCTGTTCATCCTCGATAGCATTCAAAGCCCCAAATTTGAGCGCCTTGTCCAGTTCGACGCACTCATGGCTGCTGTAGTGCCCAAGATGTCCAGTGGTGGCGCTGTCCGCATCCGCTTCACCAGCCTGGAAGTGGGCACGAGCAGATGGAAAGAGGGAATGTTTGAGATCCACGAGAGAGACAACAAATCAAATCTAGTACTGAAGTTCAACAGTGGAGGAACTCCAAAAAAGTTCCCGGTAAGCAAATCCCAGACACTGCCCTTGCAAAAAAACAAAAAAATCACATGTAAATATGTGGTGTTTTTTTTTGGTCGTTTGTTTTGTTTTGTTTTTATTTTGGTATTTTTTTAATAGATACTGTACACATTTGTCAGCTTTCTACAGATGGACTTTTGACATGTGATGCCAGTTTTTATTTTTCGTATGTGGAGGTTTATTTATTTTTACCCTTTTCATGTGTGATTTCATGTTGTAACATCCAGTTGTACATGTGGTCATATTCACATTATCACACTTGTTTACTTGAACGTGTGTTGTTTTTTTTTTAGACACTTCACATATTATAACATGAAATTTACTTTATAGCGTTTCTGTAAGGGTGTTACAGGGCAAAAAAGTTAAACTGAATTATTCAGTTAAAAATGATTTTTCTTTTTCCTTGGCATTTCTTTTGTCATATGAATTAGGGGTGATTTGGTTTACTGATAAATGTTCCTATTAGACACCCATTTTGATGCATTTTTTTTATGATACTGTTTTTATGTATTTATTTATTGTTTCCCTCACATAGGTCATATTCTGGCGGTGTGTCATGGTATATGGACACACGCTAAATTATATTTTGGTGTGTCAGAGGTTGATATTTATGTAGAAGGCAATATTCAAGTTTAGCTGGTGTCTTCATTTTCGACATGT